AGTGATTGCCCAGCGGCAGCTGGAGAGCGGCCTTTTTGCTCCAAGGCTGCCCTAGGCCACCTCCAGGAGCTCGGCGTTGTCTTCAAGGGCACGGAGGGATCTGCCGGAAGGCTGGAGGAGCCCTGTGGTCGGCTGGGAAAATAAAGCATACATAGCTCTTAGGAAAGACAAGGTAATTAAAGCATAAACAGTTATTAGGAAAGATAAAAAGAGTTTTCCTTACTGATCTGTACTAGTGTATGTATTTTTTCTGATGTGTGGGGAAAGTGTTTGCCTCTGCCAGGCACATGGGCTGTGACCTGCAGTCCTGCTTTGCGTTGGGACTAGAACTTGAACTTGCTCTGCTTGCCCTGGCTCCCTCAGTGGCTGCACAGGGGGCACACTTGCCAGTCCTGTCACAGCAGCTGGACCTTAGATCCTCATTGTGACCTGCACTGTTTGCTGACATCAGGACCCCTACTGTCTCCTATCATTGGTGCAGTCAGTAGATTCCATATCCAGGATGGTCCAACTTGGTGGACCTCCTCAGTGCTGTGTGTTTGTGTTGACTCTTGGGCCAGGTGGGATACCGTTTGAGAGTGCACCTCTGAAACCCCACAAGTCAGCAGCATGGGAAAATGGAAGGTGCCTGAGGCTTTTCCCAGAGGGATTTTAGTTTAGGAGTTGAAGCAATTCTGGAACTTAAATGGATCTGGTTTGTGGTACTGGTTTTCTACACATCTAGGAAGAGCAGAAGTCTTGTGACTCCTCCCACACCCTGCACAGACCAGCAGCACATTCAACCCACAGACCTCTTGAAGGTGGGGAAAAGCCTTCCTCTGGGGAGCCTGACCCTGCTTCTTGGGCTGTCATGTCTTCCAGGGTCCTGTGGTCAGCAGCAGCAGGAGTTCTTCCCACCAGGAGCTCTTGAGGGTTTGTGAGCATGGAGGGGCCATGGCCTCATGTTCCCCTGAACAGCACTTACAGCACCAGTAGTGCCCAAGGGATGGTGGGACCTGCAGCACTCCTGGAGGGCAGCCCTCAGCCCTCTCTGGGTTGCCTTGCCATCAAAAATGATGGCCTGGGGCATGGCAGTGGCAGCTTCTCCAGGGATGGAGGTCAGCAGAGGCTAAGGCTATTCAATCCCTTTGTGTTTTTAGCATCTCCCATCTTAACTATATCATTGTGCAAATACCTGAGCATTGTCACAGACCCTGGCAGTGCCCCAGGAGCGTTCCTATGCTGACAGAGGGGGTCTCTGCATCTCCACTGACTCTGAGCCAAAGCTGAGTGGCCAGGTGATCCTTTGCTGTCCAGGCAGCACAAGCTCGGTTTTGATGCACTGTTCACCTCATTGTGCTGCTGCTCCAGCAGTTGCCAGGTGCAGTGGTCCTCCTCCTCCTGTGCCCAGCTGGGCACCTCCAGCAGCACAGGTCCAGAAGCAGGAGTGACCTGGCTGGCAGTGTTGGAAACCCTCTGACCACCAGCCTGCTCAAGGCTGTGGCCTCCCACTGTTAACTTCTGCAATTTCCATTCAGGTGCACATCACCAGCATGCAGCTGTGGGTATAGGTGGGCACATGTCTATCACAGCAGGGTTTTGGGTTCTTCCACTCTGCTGCAAACGTTCCAAATGCCATTTTGCAGCTACCATAATGAGAATCGCCCTCTCTTGACTTTGTTCCTTTTGGGTAGCAAGTGTTCATCATGACACTGGTTGACCCAGAAGCTGCCACGAGATGTGAAAATACACTCCAGCATTGCTTCAAACTGGTTGCCAGTCCTGGGAGCTGGAGCTGTGCAGGGCTGCTGGGAAGCAGCACCTGGGGTTGCATCTCCCTCCTTCCCTTGGGGTCTGGTGCTGCCACTGTGTTCAGGGCTGCCTCTCCAAAAGCCTCCAGAGAACGGAGAGCTGCCCGTTGTCTCTCATCACTGGAAGCTCAAGGAAGAACTTAGAGCTGCTCCCAACAGAGATTAAACATCTGAAAATGTCGCTGCTGCTGACCAGGACTACACACTGCAACAGCAAAGAGGCAGATGATCTTTTTCTGGCATGGCCCTTCGCTAACTGAGAAAATCATGTGATGTTTCTGCAGATGTATTAAGTGAACTGAGAGTCTCAAGAGCTTTTTCTTCTCTTCCCTGCCCTACCCTTGCCACTCTCCCTCTTCTCTCTTGCTGTCACAGCACCATGCCAAAGACAATGTCAAGGGTCTAAGAAACATTCTCAACTCCACATCCTGGTGTCTGCCTGAAGCCTTGTCAGGATGGTGGCAGCAGCAAGAGGCAACTTTTTTCTCGCAGGTAACATGGAAGTCGGATCAAAGACCTCCACAGAGTTTGGGAAATACCTCCTTCGATTCTAGTGGAGAGGACACAGCTTGCAGCTTCTGTCTGGAGCTCACCCTTGTGCTACTTTTCCAATTGCAGCAGCTCTTTCAGGAAAGCAAGAATTAAAATTATGTGCATCCCAAGGACCTGAAACTGAGAAAATCTCTGCCTTGTGCTACTAAAATCGTAAAACATGCACTGGAGACCTACAGAAAACCAGAGGAATTCCAAAACATGAGGTCTAGATTCAGCTCAGTTTTCCACATTGAACTAAATCTTCACTCCGATTCTTCTGCCCAGAAGCTGTGCATTGTCTTGAAGACGGGGCCATAAGGATCCCTGTCTGGAATCAAGCTCCTGAGACATGAATTGAAAGTAATTTAAGATCTCTAGTAGATATCCAGTCACAAGAAATAAGGGAATACAAGCTCAGTGTATCGTTGATAGCAGTATTAAAAATGTACTTCCTTTGTAGTTTTGATGCCAGTTGTCTCATTTCCCAATACACCGAGCTACCTCCCTCTGAAGAATCTGTCTCTGAAGCTGCTGACTTACATACGTTGTATGTTCCACCTCCCCTTCCCTATCAAACTCTCTGTTGTGCTTATGTGCTTGCT